GTGTTCACCACGCCAGACTGGACAGCAAAGACCACCTTCCAAGATGGTGAGAAAACATGTCACTCAAAAGCACGACTCTTCATATACTCTCAGTGCTAGCTGAAGAGAGAAGAAGTGTTCTTTGCTTTGCCATCTTTTGCGCGTCGAATTGCACCGATCTGCCACTCAGGTGGTGCAATTCGACTTCTCGAGGCATCGAAAACCGGAAGATGCCGGAAGTCTGTGGTCCGTTGACCATGTCGACGATCGAAAGTGACAGCCGACAGTGATAAACTTTAACATGCTTTAACATGGGTCGGAGTATGTCGGAATCATGATGAATCATGCGTTTCATAGTTAGAGTAGCTTAGAGTGCATAGGTCATCGTGCACAGTTGTCCCCGTGAGCTCTTGTGCCACCGGTCAGGAACGTAGTGAATCACTTGCTGCGAAGCGGCCGCAGGGGTGGCCCAGCAGATGGATTTAGAGCTAGTCCAGTCCGTTGAATCTAAAGGAATTATGAAGAGTCTGTGTTGAAGTCTAGCAGCGATTCCGGTGTCAGGCTCTAAGCCATAAGAGTCTTAATGTAAATCGATATTGTATGGTTTTTCAAGGGTTTTTCTAATGTTTTTGTGGCGAAAAAGAGATGACAAGTCACCTTTCCGGTGATGTACCCATCACCCAGGAGTGAGCCGCGCGGGCTCCCGTGGACGCGTCTTCAACATGTACGATGATGATGAGCAGGGCGGCCGGGACTGGCATGTGGCTGGGAGCGGAGAGAAGAAGGGTCAGTTCTGGGACCAGATTCACGCCGCTCCGCGGCAAGGTCCGCCCGCACCGCCATGAAACAGTTGCCCAACAAAAACGGCGAATAGCGAGGTTGACCTTTGAGGTTGACCTTGTCAAAAACGCCACTACGTACCGTATTTTACAGTGTTGTTATGCTCTGTGAGGCAGAAACCACTGCAAATAGCGATGTTTTTGAGCTTGCCGTGGCCCAAAACACCACTATTTACAGTGTTTTTGCACCTGCTGTCCAAAAACACCGCAATGTCGCCAAAAACACTGCTATTTGCGAGGTTTTTACATTTTCGCGCAAAGAATTCAAGCCTCGGCAATGTACAAAACACTGCAAAAACCAATGTTTCGCGAAAACGGTCATCCAAACAGCTCCGAAATCACAAAATCTGGCCCCCCGGCCTCCCGACAAGACACATGGAAAACATACGCGTCGCAAAACCGAAAATCGAAGACCAAAAGTCAAACACATAGGGTGTTTTTCACTTTTCTCTTGCCGCTTCCGGGCAGGCGTGTGCACGAACTAGTCCATTACGTGCTGTAAAAAGCAGTGTTTTGTTGAAGTCCGCCGTCGTGACCTATCAAAAACCCATGGTTGTTGCCAAACAATTGCCCCCCCCAGAGTAAACCTGTACCTTACAGTTGTTTATGCCATCCGGATGATCACGCCCTGAACACCTTCGGCGCGGGTGGAATTTCAGAAGGATTGTCACAAGAAGAAGGATTGTCAGAAGGATGTGTGTTTTGGTTATCAGGTTTTCCGGCGTCCTCACTCGTCGTGTGTCTTTCGGAATTCCACGACGTGTTCTTCGGAATCCGTCTGCACCGCAGGACTTGGCGGAAGCCATCCAAGAGTTGGGCTCTGCTCCGTTGGACAGCGGGGATGCCCATCCGTGGTCGGGGGCGACTGGCTACTCGAGCCTCAAGCACATTGATGTTGCCGAAGAGCCACTTATTCCTGCAAGATCTTGCAAGTGGGGTTGGAAGATTGAGAGAAAGGATGATGAATGGCGTTGTCATAAATATGTTGTCCATTCCATTGTGGGGACATGTTGGGACTACCACCGGTCTTGAAGGTACAGCAAGCCATGCATGTCAGCATTCACACGGCGAAACTGCAACAGGCTCATTGAAGCTGTTGTACATAGTGAAGTTGTTGGTCACTATGGAGAATCGGCAACTCTGGCAATTCTGGGCTACCAATACATGCGCCGGTGCCAGTAGAGTAGAGCATAGTAGAGCACTTTTGCTGAGAACTCGCTTCCATGCCCCACACTTAAGGTAGTTTCCTTCATGTCTCCTTGAATGAAGGATGACTATCCAAATCATTCCTAGTGACCCTAGTGACTATTCTGATATTATATTCTGATATGTTTTTCCGTAAGACTTGTGTTCATCCATTTGTTGCTCGCATGAGACATATAGCGCACATTAGCGCACTGTGCAATGTTGAAGCCCAGTTGCTGCCTGTCGACGTCGACGCCGTGCGCTGTCCCAACTCAAGGCCTCTTCAGTCGACGTCGGGGTTTCCGACACATGCTGCAGCGCACGGAGGTCGGAGGAAAGCGGTGTCCTTGAGCGACCTGGGTGGTTTTTTCATGTTGTTCTTCTATGTTTAAAGCCGGCTCTCCCTCCCTACTTAATTAAGCAGGCGCCTACTGACTTGAGTAAGGGACTGGTAAACTACTAGCTACTTAAGCTACTGTACTACCTACTGGACGCAGGATAGCACTCGCACTAATGATTTGGTTCCTAGATGTTTAGGGAAACATGGGAAACTTGACATGTATAACAACACGAGCGAGGTCTCCCAAAAAGCACAAGAAAGACAGGTGACCAGGTGACCAAGCGCAAGGCAAGACCTCTTGTTATCCTTTGTTCAGTTGGTTGTATTCACCAGCAATCCTGCAACTGTTTAGGGAACCTGTCATCCTAAAACTGTTATGTGACAGTGGTTTGAACATAGAAGCTTCCATGTTCTTGGAGGGAGAGCATTCAGATAATCAAGTCATTTTGTCTATGCAAGTGCAGGATGTTGGAAGAGACAACATCAGGATGTTGAGCTCATCAACCTGCAAGATCCACAAACTCATGCAAACTCTGCCGGTAGTAGGAATCTGCCGGTGTTCCTGGGGCGTCGCCGGTCGACCAGTCTCTTTTTGTGACGCCCAGATGCATCAGATGCTCCTGATACGAGGCATTCCGGCAGATGCTCCTGATGCAGGGCCTGCCCCTTCCACCTCATTTGCAGGTGCACCCGGCAATTCTCCATTTGGTGCCATTGCAAACCTGTGTTGGTGATCACTGCGTCAAATGATGTGCTTGGTCGCTTTATCTAAGGACCTTCTCGGTTCAAATGATCCACCTTTCGAGCACTACTGAGGGTGAAAGAAGCCCCTTTTGTGTGCGGCTTCGTGACATGGGTTCCTCACGTGGGACCGGCCATAGCGGGATATGTAGGGGTAGGATTGATTCATCGAGAATTATACTCTGTGCAAATGACATGGGATCCTCCCAAAATCTCCCAAACAGTTTGAAAATACAAGCCGGGATGGTACCTGGACAATGGGAAATAGAGGAATGTACACATGACAAAGGAATAGTCACCAATTGTTCATGCAAACTCCTGTTGTTGAGTGTTTCTGCTTTCTGCCGAGCATAATGGTATCTCAGTCAAGACTTCAAGGTCCCTAAGGTCTAAACAAGACCCGTCGATGTTGTTTGCAGTTCTGACTTCTTGATTCTCTTGATGCTATCGGAAGGCAGCTCTCAAAAGAAGATCGGGAAGTGCATGACGTGTGCATGACTGGCTGCTCTCAACTCTCAACCTGTGCCCGTTTCACTGGGTTCAGTATTTTGTGAAGATACCCGAGATTAACAAACATTGAAGTGGCCATTGTTCATGTCAAATCCGAGATGTTGTGCCATTTTGTAGCAGATGAACCTCCACACCTTTTCATCTTACCGGGCATTGGGACGACAGTGAAGTGCATGTTTATGCAAGATAGTTATTACTGTAGGCGACTGTAGACCATATTATGGCAAAGTCCGGGCTCGGCCAGGGGCCCAGTCCAGTTGCTGGACAGCTCTCGGAGAGAAGTGAGGTGGATGCTCAGGCTTCTTGGGCTGCGGTTCTGATCCTTCTTGCTCTTCAAAAAAAGAATCTGATGATGGCGCAAGCATCCCACGATGTATTTGACCCCCCCTAAGTTTGCAAGTCTTCGTGGTCAATAGTAATCGGTGAGTCGAATTACTGCTGAAATACGTCCCGCCCCGTGCATAGAGGTCTCCGATCTTTTTTATGATTCTTTTCTTGGATATCCATGATCCAGCTGATCCTTGGTCCGTTCTTCGGTGTTGCGGGCTTGGGGAGTTAACTGAACTCAGCTTCGCTTGCCAACTCTAGGCGCTCCTTGATGATATTGAAGATGAGGATTCGGAAGACGACATGTCCGAGCCTCAGCTGATGGCGCTCGAAGTGAGCGAGGCAACAAAATGCGAGGTGGAGTGAGCGAGGGAACATGTTCCACGGAGCGAGAAGTTGTCCTTCAACTGGCACCATGGGTTTCTTCAGATGTTCCGAAAGACATGGGAGATCACGGGTTCGTAAACCCACAGCAAGCCAGGAAGTGCTGTCATCAAATAATGTATGATGATGATTGATGATGCCCATGTCCTTATCCTTGTAAAATGAGTTAAAATGAGGAGGGTTAAGGTTATCATGAAAGGTAGCCCTTCAGGGGATACCTTGAGTTTGTCTTGCGAAGCAAGTGTGGGCTCCTCCGGATCTAATACAGCAATTGATAGTTCAATTCAACCCCCCCCATAGAATTGATTTTTCAATACAACCCCCCCCTCATCCCGAAGTGGATCACCTCGACACCTCGATGGTTATTTGGTGTTGAGCCCTCTAAGCTTGGGGCAGCTACAAAATACAAGAAAATCCATGATAAAGGAACGAGGACTTCAAAATCTTCAAAGCATGAGTTTTGGGAGCGTGCAGAAGTAGTTCACCTCCCTCCAGGGAACTGAGCACAGCTTGCGGACAGGCACTTTATCCTGGCTTTGAGGAGGAAACATAGGGCCCGTCGCCCATCACGGTCAAAATCCAGTGTAATATGGCTATAGCCGATTTTCATGCATACCATGCTTTGGTGCACAAGTCAGAATATTTGACATCTTCTGCACCAACAAAAACGGCCCTGCTGCACACACACACATGCAAAAAAGGCATCAGGTCAAAGGTCAAACTGCCAAGACATTAGAAGTCACAGTCCATGAGACCTAGCTTCGCACAGAAGTTCACTTAGCTGCGCCATGCCGACAAGCCAAGACAGCTCGTTAGTTTGGCGGTTCACCCCTAATAGCGGCTATGCGGAAGTTCTGAAGGCACTGACTCTTGGTGGCAGTCGCAATTTGCTTCAAGAGCTGGGGGCTTTGACTTTGGCCAAACCTAGCTGTATTGATTATACGGTAAGGTGGTCTTGGACTACTGGAAACCTAGAATGGTCTAGAGTCTAGGCTATGTCCGTGGGCTAGATAACAGATGTCGTGTGACGGTCATGTAAATGACAAGTCTTGCAAAACTGATGCTGGGCTGAGAGGAATCAGGAGCCACTGGGTAGCGTCCGCAAAGGTGGGTGAGCGATAATCAGGATCACTCGGTTCCTTTCCGAAGATGTGAATCCTCTCGAAGAGTTCTTTTTTTCGAAAGGGTTGAGCTGTTGGCCTGTGGTGGTCAGGCGCCCACCCATCTTCCAAGCAGCCAATCAAATCCCTGTCAGGATTCAATCCTGTTGGCTCTTGCAGCAAGCCTTTCGGTCCTTTAGGACTATAGGAGCACCAGATATTGTTTCAAGCACAATCGCACTCCCGCCCCTGACAAAATTGTTTGGGGACCTGCAATTTTCGCTTTCGGCTTTTGCAAAGACGTTTCGTTCCTCAGGTCTTGAGGGCCAAGGCGGTGCAATCACGATGGCCATGCATGCACCAGGAGACGTCGAAGAAAGCGGTCTACTGCATGCTTGCACGGCTGTTGCCCAATGCAGATTGGGATGCTCACTGATCTGCCCAGAGACGCTGGGCATAATCTTTGGGGGCCAGCTTGCACGTTTGTTGCTGTCACTCTTTTCTTTCGGCTCCAGGGTTGGGGCTAGCTGTTGGCGCAAATCATTTGGCTGAGGAAAAGTGAAGTCGAAGGCAGCAAGGCCGTTCTTTGTTGCCTTTTTTATGCGTTAGGTTGTCTCCAGCAGACTATTCTGGACATAATATAACCCGGCGCATCTCTATAGAGTGGGAGCCCTTAGGTCATCCTGAGTGATAGACGGTCAGATATTTGGAAAGCCTTTGTTAGAGAGAAGCTAGTTCCATACAGAAACGTGAGAACAGGAAAGGCATAAGAGCATAGACACATATGAGTGACGTTCAGATGTCCAACACGCGACGAGATTAGAGGTACTACTACTGCTACTATTACTACTACTCCTACTCCTACTACTACTACTACTACGACGACCACCACCACCACCACTACTACTCCTACTGCTACTGCTGCTGCTGTTGCTGCTACTGCTACTACCTACTACCTACTAACTACTAACTATTATTTACTAACTACCAACTACTATCTACTACTAACTACTAACGACTATGAACTAACTACTAACTGCTATCTACTAATTACTAACTACTACTACCTACTGCGCGAACTTGACCAGACCTACAGGACGTGTTGCGGGGGACCAGACACAGAGAAACGGGGTAGAGACACAGGGCACTGGATAAAACATACTATCAACTATCTATATATATCTGAACGTGGTTGGAAGGTCTTCTAGGTCTCTGTTCAAGTGATTGAAACAGGTAGTGACGGCACCTCCTACAGGTTAGAAGTGGAAACCCCTCTCCTCCGCCGGTGGAGGTTGTGGCCGTGCCACCTCCTGCGGTGGCACCCAACGCGTGGGTCCCAGCTGCAGGGTGAGATCTCCTGTATGTGGCAAGGATGCCCATTCGTACTTTTTAGTTTTGGACATTGCGAAACGTCTGATTGGACGAGAACAGAAGTCTTGTTGAGGTCTTCGGCATGGACTCCATTCGCTTGATTGAAACATAGGTAGTGTGATGGCACCTCTCAAGTTTGGAAGTGGAAGCCCCTCTCCTATGCCTGTGGCCGGGACACCACATGCTGTGGCACCCAATGCGTGGGCCCCAGCTGCAGGATGACAAGTCCTGTTCATGCGAAAGAAGCCCGTTCATACTTTTTTCGGTGATTGCGAGAACGTTGGTTTTGAGATCGATTTAGATAATAACATAAGTCTTGCTGTTTTGTTTCTATCTCTCTTCTGATTCAGGAGTGTTGGCGAGACATTCTTTTCTGTATTGGAAGTCTTCTGGGACTCTGTTCAATTGATTGAAACCCTCGAAGGTTGGAAGTGGAAGCACCTCTCCTGTGCCGCTGGAGGTTGTGGCCGAGACACCACACGCGGTGGCGCCCAACGCCTGGGTCCCAGCTACAGGATGAGAACTCCTGTATGTGGAAAGAAGCCCCTTCCTATTTGGTTTGGTGATTGCGAGAACGTTGGTTGTGAGTTTTGAGATCGACAGATAATGACAAAAGTCTTGTTGAGAAATCTCTATATACATGAGAAGGTCTTCTGATTGAGGAGTGTTGGTGAGACAGTCTTTTTCTGTTTGGAAGGTCTTCTGGGACTCTGTTCAAGTGATTGAAGCATAGGTAGTGATGGCGCCTCCTCGAGGTTGGAAGTGGAAGCCTCTGTCCTGCGCCAGTGGAGGTTGTGGCGGGCCCCGTGCCATGAAAGCATAGTTATGCTTTTGAGAAGCCACGCAGACATGGTGAACGGCGAAGGCAATTCCTTTGTCCGTGCCATTATGTGCTTTCCCGGGCTCATGGCACCTTGGGGAAGCGCTGGCGAATGCTTGGTGAAGAGTCTGCCCGAATCAAGTGGATGAAGGACGCTGCATCCTGCATCGAGACGTCAAGCCATCAAACTTCCTGGCGGTTCTCAACAGATTCATGGCTGAAACTTAGCTTGGGCTTAGCGGGTGCAAAACATCACGCCGCGCAAACAGAGAAAGCACAATTTTGCGCGCAAGCAGAGCCATTTTAGAGAAGCGTGTTGGTGGTTTTCATGCAGCGACTTTTTCCCATCTTCGGCTATGCCTTTCATGCTTGAGGTTCTGGTGGCACTGCCGTTCAGCTGGCTGACTTCGGTTCCAGTGTCCGGGTGTGCCTCGGTGCTGCCTGCCAACAGCGCGCCTTCTATGCAGCCAACGGCTGCTCCACAACATTCGCTTACGCAGGTCCTGATGCAACTGGACCGACTCAATAGATGCTGCTGATGTTTGCTATTGGCAGTAAAATTTGCAGAACAGAAGCAAAATCGCTGGGTCCCTCAAATCTGAAGATTAAGGCCTCCCACCCTCTTCCTGAAGGCCTGAAAGCGGTCTCCCTTGGCTCCATACATTATCAGGAAATCAATCTTCCAAGACCGCTCTGGCAGTGAAGCTTTTGAGTTGGGACCCACAGAGTCGGCCTCTCAGCGAAACTTGTCTGCGGCACCTTCTAACCAAAAAAGGTCGCGCAGAGCGTTGGTGGTCGCAGGGGCGTTTCAAAGAAACGCTTGATGACAAAGAGATGTTGGGGGACGAACAGAGTCCGCCGTAAGGCCTCGGCAGCCTCGCAGACTTTGAAGGTCTCGAGCATGTTGGGGCTGCCAGGCAGGCAGCCTGCACACCGCCTTTGCTGCGCCATGCTGGCACTGCGTTCCAGGTCCATACAATCCACCTTCGTTTTCAACAATATCTCCGTAGTGCGTTTTCAATTCGTCGAGAAGGCCACTCGCGTAAGGCGTTTGGCCCGCAAAGCAGGCCTTGGCCGGGCGGTGGTGTGGCCTATGGCCCATGGGCCGCTTGGTCTAAAGGAGAAAAAACGGGGTGCCTTCGCAGAGAGGTCTGAGCATGAAGAGATATGGGTTTGAAAGAAAGACGCGGAGTGAGAGGAACCTGTACCACCCCAAGTATTCGCGTTCGCATGGGCTTTTTTGAGGGACATCTTTGTTAACAACGCTTACAATTCTGAGTGCTTCGGCCCACGCCATTGGTGAAGTGTAGCTCCACAACTTTGCTACAAAACTGAGCGCTGTCATTCCGTGAGCATGTGGAAAATTGCAAGGAACATGTTCTTTCAGAGCAATGTGCCACAAACTCCGAAAGGATCCACACCACGACTTTGTATAGCTTGGACCGGGTTACCAGACCAAATCCAAGGTTACCAGACCCGGCCAGGTATGCAGCGTATGTCTCGGACATGCTGCCACGGAGTCTGCAAGGTGTCCTTTGCCTTGCTGCAGCGGGAGTGAGATTGATTGGCTGAGGGTGTCTGGAAGTCCTATATATGGGAAAGATGCCCGTTCGTTTTTGCTTGTCATTGCAAAACGTCGGTTTCAAATGCCTTTGGAGAGTTGGTCTGTATCTGTTGGTGACACGTTGAACAGCCTTTGGTTTTCTTGGGGGGATATTAAAACCCATCTTCAAAGGTTCTTCAATCGTATTCATCAATCCCGCCATGACAATGTCTCCAGGGACATGTCCAGTTCTCACTTTCCATCCGTTCATATCAGTCCTTGACGGCGGCTTCAATCAGCCTTGACAGTGGTTCATTCAACGCAGCAAAAAACCCCGTTCTACATGTTCCTGGATGGCTAAATGAAGCTACAGTCGCAAGCATGTGCACCTCAAACAAGGTGCTACATACTCACGGATATGTCTCACACATCTGCGAGACTTCGGGTCTTGCCAAGCACTGGAAGTCACCTTGGTTTCAGAGTAACCTGGCATATACATGGTTTCAGAGTAAACTGGCATATATCTATGTATAACCATCCTGGAGTAGATAGAATCGACTTTCGTAGGGGTTGTTTTCTCTTTACAAAACTCAGGGTTTTTGACATTCCTTTCATTTTATGAAGATTGATCCTATAGATCGAATATAAGGATAAGATTCTCATCAAATCCTCCCATTCCGGTATTTGCGCCTTTGCTATGTTCATGTTCTGTTCCTATGTGTATTATCTAAGTGGTTCTTTCCGTTTTTCTTTTCTTTAGAACGAATAGAAAATAGAACGAACAGAGAAGGAAAAGGACAACAAAGGAAAAGGAAGAGAAGTCCCTACAACCATATTCTATCTATGGGGTTTGGAAGGGCCGGTTTTGAGGAGTGAATTGTTTTTGAAAATTCGTCCATTCTATCTACTCCAGGATGATTACATGTATCGAGGTATATACTTGCAAACTAAATTTACTAAATAGATAACTTTCAGAAATATAAATAACAGATTCTGACCACTACCATCTAGTCATGAACATCCAATATCAAGACCCAGAGAACTCAGTGACCGATCGTCACTGATCAGATCTACCTTGCTGACTTCAACCGCCGGTGTTTGCTCAAAGGCAAAAAAGGGAGGCCAGCATTTTCCACGACTTTGTAGCTTTTTTTCTCCCTCTCCCTCTCTGTTTCTTTTTCCTTTCTCCCTCTTCCTTCTTTTTGGGAACCCTGTTCTTCTCTTGGTGTGTCCTTGGACACTTGTGTCGTAGCTGGGAACATCTACCTTTCCTTTCTTCTTTTTCTTTCATCTCTTCTCTCCCTACCCCTCCCTCCTGTCGGGACCTTATAGTGGGACGCTACTGGGGGCTCCTGGCCTTACTACTAGGTGCAAGGACGCTACTAGGGATGAGGTTCACCGTTTCTCGAAGAGAAGCCTCCCCTCCGGGTCCCGGGTCCTAGAGGAGCGGTGGCCAACGAAGACCTCCTCTGGGGCCTGTGTAAACGTACCTGCAGTTTTACCGGAGAAATTTCATCGTGGGCCCTGCTTGTAGCTAGAACAAGACGTCCAGCCTTTGCATCGGTTCCTCATCGGCAGATGTGCATTGTCGCTTTGGATTTGTCGATTTGGAGTTGGAGGCCACGCAGGCTTTAAAGTGGTTTGGAACACCGTACTTTTACCCGTCCTGGTTTTCTTAGGTTTTCACTTAGGCTGGCGTGTGGCACCGCTGTCAAGTCAGTATGCATTTCTATAAGTGTGTGCGGATCATGTTGATGCTGATTCTGATTGTTTAAACACCAAGGCACTTTGGGAACGCAGACTTAAAAGGTTATTTTCTTTGCTTTGTTGTATTATCACGCTTGGAAACCAACGTCAGGTTGTTTGGTCAAAAAAGGATTTAAGGATTTGGGCTGCTAAGGGTTGCGAGCACCACCTCACGGCTATAAAGCGGCTCGCAAAACTCCCCTCCGGAATGGACAAGGTCATGATGTCAGTCAATTCAACGTCAACAATGGCAGATTCACCAGTAAATGATGTGACGGGATGGTTTTTGATACACTCCCCAATCGTGGGGCGCACGTTGCGCGTGGCGCATCCGCGCCTGAGGTTGGAGGCTCCGGAAGCGGCTGATGCCTAAGCGGGGGGGGCGAGCAATCACAGTTTCATCAAGCAAGTGCACGGGTCCAGACTCCGGACTCCTCATGTGCCTAATTATCCCAGCAAGAGACCCCAAACAGTGTTATTTAAGTAGAACAAGAGAAGGGTGAACAAACGAACTTCAGATGAGAGGCACACATATGAGAGCACACACATAAAGTGCTGCAACTGCTACGAAATCTGCGAGGTTCATGATTGCTGCCCTGAAATCTGCAGCGAGGTCCACAAAGCGCTGCACCTGCCACTAGATCTACACTTCCAAACACGTTCAGGTGTACAAAGTGCTATGCCTGCTACGAAATTTGCGCACAGAAGTACGGCAGCTCCGATCTCCTGCACCTGCCACAAGAAGAAAAGTGGCCACAGAGTCCGAAAATGCTGGCACCGCAACGAGAGCGCAGTCAAATAAGCACCCGGCTCGGGACAGACATCTTTTTGCTGAAAAGGGTCATCAAACTTGCCACCCTTAATCAAACGCAGCCTGAACAACTACCGCTTAAGAAAAGACTATTTTGACCAACCCGTCTTTGTCGCGGAAACCTGAAGATGCTTGACATAAATCTGAGTACTGTAGGTTTGGGTGTGTATATATACATAAATATACACTAGTTGTTTGATGTAGTTTTGCATGGACAACCGCCTACAGCCAGGATATTTGCAGTAGTCAGTACGTGAGAATGAACCCAGTACTGTCCAATGCAGCATGAAGAAGGCAACAGTGCATAACCGGACAGGACAGGAGGCCAGGACGTTGTTCCAGTCCGTTGCAAATGTTCGGACACCACGGCCACAAGACCCAAGTCACAGAAGCGAGGGCCCGTAGCTCAGCGATCCTGAGGCGGAAGAGGGCTCTGAAGAAGTTTATGGCTAGGAAGCCCAGTGTGTTTCATGGTTGGCATGCCACCAGATCAACAGAGGGAAGGCTGCCAAAAAGACTCATCAAAACCAGCCATTCTACAAGGCAACCTTAGCTGGCAGGAGCTCCTGAGAGATGAACCGAGGATGGCCTCAAGGTCACCACATGTCACGATGCTGCATGTTCACCAGATCTTGCAGAGAAACCAACCAGATCTTGCTCAGACGGCAGAGTCTTCAGCCTCCAGTCCAATGGAGCGATTGGTTTGCCAATGGTCCAGTGTCTTTGATGTTAAGCTGATAGGACAGCTTGTATTCAGTGCACATAAGAGCTTCCCTTTACTACTCGGTTTTCTTTTGTCGGGGGCATCGATGTTTCAACCGTGTGCTTCAAGGGGCAAGAGTGGCCAGAGCGCGGCTAGACGGCCCTCATGGCCCCGAGGTCAATTTATGGAGTCAAGTGACGCGCAGAAGGACCAAGACTTTCAGGAGATGATGAAGGCCCATGACAAGCAGAAGGTTGCTTTTAAATTATGTAGGCGTTCTAAACGATATCTTTGAATTGAACACTTTGGGATTGGATTTCAATCCTTGATCCCTGCAGTCACTGGAAGAAGACGGAGAATCCTTAAAGTCTTCAATCAGTTGAAACGTCGAAAAGTATAATACCAAGGGCTCACGCCCGAAAGCCGGCCCCACCACGGGGGAAGGGCAAGAGGAAGGAAGGAAAGATAGAGGGGAGGGTGGGGAGTGGTTGCTGTAGTGACTGTTGCGCTCAAGGCCAAGCGCCTATTTCAATGCCATCTATCGTTATTCCTTACTAATATTAATTTTCTTCAAAAGGAATCAGCCAAGCACAACGGAAGGCAATTTAATACCAATGGACTTGTACCTTACGGAATTTCTCATCAAATTCTGTGCAAAATTGAAGGGGATGGAGCCTGGCTTCCGGACGCAACGCATGAAGAAATGTTCAAAGCCTTAAAGCATTTGGAATCTGCTGTCCTTGAAGTCAAATGCCTTAAAATGTCAATAATTTTGCAAATTGTTCCTTGAAAATTCTCCATTAAATTCAATATATGTTCAATTAATGCGTTTGTTCCATGGTTCTCCGTCGGATTGGGGTAAACAATTATTTTTGAGATTTGACCTATCGAATGGGGTATTTGTGGAGGCCTAGCCGGATATACTTATGTCCTAGAGGGTTCAGGTTTGTCAATTTGATGGATTAGTCTGTTGTTGTGTGAGGTTGTTTGTAATGTGGTTGTTGCGGTATGTAATATAAAATGTATATAATATACGAAGAGTGCGTATAATGGCGGTTGCAGGAAATGATCTGGTTAGATTAGAGAATTCAATTATTATGCAAATGTTATGGAAATACGAATTGCGGATATATGAGGTTCCGAAAAGGAAGTCGCGCGCAAAACCGACGTTTTATGTAATCTCTAGGTTCGACGATATTATTCTACCTAATCTTGATAATGATGACATAATTTAAGGGCTGCCGCCCAGTGCCGCCGACCCCAGGAAGGGAGACAAAAGAGGTGTGGGGCGGACAGAAGGCATGGTGACGCGTGGGTGGTAGCGCAGAACACATGGGGACACCGCGGCGTGCTGCACCGGCTATGTGGAATCCCCAATGTGAGGAGGGGGCAGGAGGGGGTGCTGCATCGGCTACGTGGAGAGGAGGGGGCAGGGAGGGGGTAAGCGTTAGAGATATTAAAGGGGGTGGGGCAGACAGAGGGCATGGTGACTCCACGGTGTGCTGCATCGGCTACGTGGAACCCCATGTGGATGTTAAGGGGCTGGAGGACACAGGGACGGGGCCATGGCAGTGTAGACGGGGTGGAGGTAGAGGGTGCAGGCAAGAGGGATGAAGTGGGAGACACAGGAACGGAGTCCCTATGGTCCCTGTGTGGAGGTTTACTCGCGGTGGCAGTGGGACATGGTGCCAGTATAGGGTGCAGGCAAGAGATGAAGTAGGTGGTAGGGCAGGCGTGCTGCATCGGCTACGTGGAATCCCCAATGTGAGGGGGGGCAGGGATGGGGTAAGCGTTAGAGATATTAAAGGGGGTGGGGCAGACAGAGGGCATGGTGACTCCACGGTGTGCTGCATCGGCTACGTGGAACCCCCGTGTGGATGTTAAGGGGCTGGAGGACGCAGCAGGGACGGGGCCATGGCAGTGTAGACGGGGTGGAAGTAGAGGGTGCAGGCAAGAGGGATGAAGTGGGAGACACAAGGAACGGAGACCCTAAGGTTTACTCGGGGTGGCAGTGGGACATGGCGCCAGTATAGGGTGCAGGCAAGAGAAGGTGGTAGGGCAGAACACATGGTGACTCCACGGCGTGCTGCATCGGCTACGTGGAATCCCCAATGTGAGGA